GGTTTCAAGAACTTGAGGATCATCAGCATTGACGAATTTTTTCCCGTCAGCCAAAATCTCTTTGATACGATCCTCAACTTCTTGTGATTCTGGACCCTCTATAAGGTCCTCTGGCGTTTGAGCTGCAGAAGCAGATGTCATTGAAGGCTCCCCAGTTTGTGCAGCCGTCGGCCTGGCATTCTTGGCTTTATTTTGTTCTTCGACGATGTCGAGTATGAACTTCACAGCCCGTCGAGATAGGTAGTACACAAACCCACGTCTCTGACTGACTTGATGAATATAGCGAAGGATTATATTTCGCAATACATTATTCCACTTCAATTGCATGTTATGGATGACGAAGCGATTGTTAAAATCGCTGACAAAATCACCCGAAGGTGGGTCGTCATGAATCGCTTCCGTTTCAATCGGACTTCCCCCTAGACGATCAGCATCTTCGTCACCATCAGGGATAGTCCGTGGATCATTGGTGTTTACACGCTCCACCATACGTTCTTTCATGGATTCCAGAAAGATCTTTTTGTTGTGCAAAAATGGGCCATGGATGGTCAATTGGTCGTATTGAGCTTTGAGAGACGTATTCTGTGGGTCTTGCGAATATGCCCATTCGGCGGACTCCAGAGCTTCCTGGTGATCGTCAATCTGTTTATCGAGTTGAACTAAGCGGTCAGTAATGAGCTGACATTGAACTCGTCGTGGATCATCATCCTTGCTCATTATGCAGAAATGTGTAGGTTCGTTACCGAAAGGACTAGTTCGTTCTGGATCACCGGAAATATTATCACCATGATCAGTTTGTCGGAAATACGTGAAACGTGGAGCATAAGCCAGTGGCAGAATCTTCGTTTCTGGGTTTGCTTCGGCTGGAAGTATCCAATCCAACTCAACGAAATCATCCATGTCAATCCAGGTAAAATCGTTGTCAGGAATATCGAAATGTGATAGATCTGTTTGACCTCGTTCCAGTTGAGATACCAGAGTGGGGGCAGAAGCCTTTTGAAGATCTTCCGGTGTCGTTCCCGCGATACTAGCAGAGATAGCACGGATATCTGCCGACAGCAAATCTAATTGTGCTCGATGTAATTTCATGGAGGTCGTCGTGGTTTGTGTGTTTCGACCTTTGTCTTGTGTCATAAATTCTTCTCGTCGTTGATGCATGTCGAGCATAAAGCTATCCAGTCTCATCTTGAGACCAGTGGCAGATACAACATCTTCAGAATAGTCCTCTGCATCTTTGTGTTTGTAGACGTGACTAAGGAACAGAGGTGCAAGTAATAAATTGTACTTGATTGTGGCAAGATGCCTGCCAAATTTTTTGCTCGACTTCTCAATTCCTGGCCATAAGTCACCTTGTCGAATTGGCAATGACATGGTGCCACCAAACATCGACCACCAAGAAAAGAAATGTGTGAAGAATCGGGGAGTAAGGTGCACAGTGTTATAGCTTCTTGAAGGCTCCGTGTTTGATACAGACCACTCACGGTCGACCGGTGCTTTGACTGCTATCGACATATGGATATGTTGACTACGGAAGCCTCGGAATGCATCGTATTCCTGGCCTGCTGAAGGTTTGCAATACTGTAATTCCTTCGTCACCACATTGTAATGTGGTTCGAAGTCAAAAGAACGTGTTCCATCATCGAGATCTCTCTCAAACATAAGACCTACCAACCACTGAACGTTGCCAGATAGTTTCATGACAACTTTCTTGAAAATTGCACCGTGCCTGAAGCTGTCGGAGCTCACAACGCTATCGCTATCATTATGCTCCGAGGCAGTGACGCGAGCTTGATGGCTGAAGTCTGGTATTGCGAGAATATATTCACCACTGTCTACTGTGATGAATTTGCGTGGATCATCATCTCGGCAAACGCTCAATCGTACATCGCTTCGCCAACACATAAGGAACCCGGCACCATCTCCTGTGACAATGTAAGGATCCCGTGTTCCCTTCAATGTGAGATGAACATCGCCATCTCCCTTCCATGCAATATCAATTTTGGAGTGGAAGCTGAGACGAAGTTTATCCCAGAATCCAATTCGTTCTGAAGGATCGACTTGTGGCTTCGTGAATGTCTCAATGACCATCATCATGTCTTGAATTGCAGGTTGATAAGAAGCACCCCAAGTTATACGAGTAGGTAACTCTGTATTAATGTTGACATTTATATTGGAATAACATTTGACAGGCGTGACTGTTTTGCGCACATCTATGGCAAATCCTCCTGTTTTGGGCATTCCTGGCTCACGATTCAGTGGTGGAATGATATCGACCTTTATATGACGAATAGACTCGGGACCTCGGAACTCCTCAGCAATGACGAAATCTGTTTTGAGAGACCAAGCTGGCATTCTTGGTGACTGCCCAGGTCTGATTGCAGGTACATGCAACAGAGGTAATGGATAATCTCGTAACGTTACTCGTGCTTCCCCCATATCGATTTGAACATTCATCGGTACTAGGAGTGAGTACTGCATGTCGCGAGGCATACCTTTCCCCATTTTATGGAGAAAATCAGGAAGCTCATTCATGGGAAATGATGGTTTGTCGACCGTTATGTGAAGGTCACTTATCAAAGTGCTCATCAATGCTGGTCGCTGTGGAACTTCCAGTATATTTTCGGTCTCCTCCATATCGTCCGGTAATTCATCAGGTCCCCAAAAAACGCCACGAAGATTTTTCATGCCATCCTTTGCAATGGCATAAACCCTGTCAATTCGTCTTTTCCAGCTCTGAGCGTTGTGACGTCGGAGCCTGTCGTGAGCTTCAGAGATTGATATATTTGCGGTTCCACTTATGCCGCTCGTTCCTTCAGGATCGTAGCGATACTTTCGACCTCGTTCAGTTCTAGGCGAGCGCTCTTCCGGCAGATCATCGCCCACACTCTTGTGTCGCCTTGAGGAATCTTCCTTGTTATTGCTGCGACCACGAGGGTGCGCTGACCTATTTCGATAACGCTGGGTATCTCTGCGCATTTCTTCCTCTTCGATCTTCTTTGCTTTCACGTCAAACGCCGCTTCTCGTGCCAAGCGTTGCTGCTGCTCAATCAAACCGGCTCTGTATATGGCACCCAACTTCCACTCAAAAGCTCCGTCTTCTAACTCAAAAAGTAATGCTTTGCTACGTACTGACAACCTTGGGATGAGTTTGGGGCCCTCTGGATGTTTGTCGAGGATGTACTCGTTAGTACCTGTCTTGATGCGATGGTGGAGTTGTTCCACAGCTTTGAGTGTGTTGACAACGTTATCGATAACTTGGTGAAAAATGAGCTGATGTGGCACCGCCAGCCTGATGGCATTGGTTGTAATATCTATCGTCTTTTCTTCATGCATCTCACCGGAGCTACGCATCTGACGTTTCTCGCGAAAGTCAACTCTCGCCGATCTGATACTGACGATTCTAGCCCATACTCTTTTCATTTGTGGAGCCTCGGCGTATAAACGAACAAGCTTAGCATGGAGGAAGGGTGCTGACCATCTGTGGCGGCCAGCATCGACTCCATATATTTGAAGCATTAATTTGGGGTCCGAAGGCAAATGAGCCTTGACTTGAATTAAAGTAGATCTAAAATCTATGGTGACTAATTCTCTGGTTCCGAAATTGAACTCCTGATCATCTTGTCCAGGCCAAGAAAATCCTCCAGGGGAAGTCACTGGCGATAGAAGTGCAGAAGGATCAGATTTCCTCAACGATGCTGTTGCACGTGCCGCCTCTTCGGCTTCCGCAACATCGGCATATGTGCGAACGAAGGCCTTCCTAAGCACACTTGAAGCTACACCGCATGCGTAGTGTCTATATAACGAATACTGTACCAAGACGCTTTTCACGTGCGAATTGAGATGAAATATCGGTCCTTGATTGTCGCTCAAAGTAGAAAGAGCGACTTCAAATTTAGGAATCGAAACAAAAGGCTCTACTTCCCACTTTTCTGTTGATTCGACGACAAACGACTCAAGGCCACGACCGTGTATAGCTAATCGCCTGCCATCGGTTGGATTTTGATCACGCTTTCTTCTAGGCGATGGAGGCATTGTAAGAAATATCTCAGGATCGGGGGTAAGAGAACGACTTCCTGCACGACGACGAGTTCTTCGTTCATTAGGCTCAACTTTTTGGGCTCTATACTCAGCGGTCCAGGATTCCAGTTGAATTGCAACACCACGTGTATCTTCTGCTATTGATTCGTCAATTCCAGCTACTTCGGCGCTGAAATCAGAGCCCTGGAGTTGGAAGTGCAGTAACCAAGGAGGTAAGGCCCGGATGAAATTTGGATCTCGAGAAGTTTTAGAATGAGGTTTCTTATCTGGTTCAACATTGAGCCTGAGCTGACGAACAATTTGGCGGACACCATCACTGATCTCTGGTCGAATCATATGTACCGAAAACGTTTGGACATTACCCGTAGCGACAACGTAAACTTCCGGATTGGCACTGACAGAGACTTTCAGATCAAGCGCCTCGATTTGAAGCAAGTCAAATCGAGATCCGGAGCATGTTTGGTAATAGAGATCATGGGACTGTAGTCGCAACGTAGAACCGAGACTATAATGCAACTCCCCTACCGCTGAATGTGAGGATTCAATATCCAGAGATATAGAAGATATGGAAGATATGATAAGATCGAAATCATCCTCAGCTGCCGTATCTTCAACGGGAGGTAGAGAAATTCGGATAACAGGCTCGTGCATCGAGAATTTAACATTAGCTTTTGGTAATAACCGAGACATTAGTGTATGTCTTTCTGGTGTGTCTTCCTTCGATTTTGATTTCGGGTTCGATTTCGCCATGGCTAGAACAAGAGGAAGATGTCTTGGATCAAGATCAATGGAGGGTGATGTAACAACGGCATTAGCAAACAAAATATTCGCATTGCGCTCATCTAAAGTATTGTCTATAGCAAATTGGACCGTTTTCGACAAAAAGGTAGTTCGAATTGTAGTAGTTGCCATTGGAACATAGACTAGCCTGTCGGATCTTCCCCGACCATCATCGACTCCGACAGAGATGGAGAGCGCGGCAATAAGAGCCTGGTGAGCTATATCCTTCGAGGAAAAGTACATTCGGTGGGCAGGGGACTTTTGATCTAAACGATGTAGATCCACTCCAACCTCTTTCATGGAAGCATTGAGATACATTGGTGAACCCGAGGGCTGTACTGAGGTGATTTTCTTCGTGAATCCAATGTAGCTGACTGCAAATTGTACTTCGATTATACCCCGAAGAATAGAGCTCGCAAACTCCTTGGAATCCGATACTGTTTGTACAAGATTTTTCTCTTCACTTCCAGGTCTTTCAAGCTCCCCAATAATGCTTGCGACCGATATCTCCTCCGGTGCAGGCTTTCCGTCCTTAATTTTGGGCAGCTTGCGACAACCCTTGTATTTGTCTATGCAAGCATTTATGTCGTCATATGGTATATGAACTCGGCCCAATTTAAGGGCAATTGCTGCTTCCCGCAAACCATCGAGCTCCTTGTATAGTATCCCGCTTATGTTCAACGTAAGGTGATCCAGTATTTCTAAAGACTGCCCTCCTTCCGGTGTAAACAGAACACTGCGAATAGTCAGCATCCATTCTGCAGGTTGCTGGTTGCTGTTGGCGTTCTTCACATGTGTGAACATGCCACGATCAACCGTTTTCCTCCTTGTATCCACGCCCATTGTAAAACTTCCTAACTGTATATTGCCAACATCAACCACGGTCACCGATGAGTTCGAAGCCACGATGTCCACCATTTGAATCCAATTTATATTGCGATGTAGGCGTTTGATTCGCTCCTTGATGCTTGTAAGTTGCTCCCACATTTTGCTGCGCTGCGGCTCGAAGGAGGTAGCATCTGTAGGAAGTGGTTTGCTGTCTGGTTCGCCTTTGCGACTTGAGCCATCCTGCTCTTCTTCGACGACCCCATTTCCGTCAGGGCGCCGTGCCTTTTTCTCTCCATCCAAAACCTTCAAATCCAATGTAACTGCCAGCTCTGTCAAAACAACGCTGAGCCATGTTGGTTCTGCGAAGGTAGGACGATGGATATTCAGTCCCAAGCCTCGAATCTCAATCTTGATACCATCTTTCGGAGTAAATGCAAGTCTCCTCAGAGAAAAGTAGCCGATGCGCTGAATGGATATGCCCGTTACGATTCGTATTATGGCGAAAAGGATGAAGGATGAGAGGTACAGTAGAACTATCACCCCAAAGATGAAGGTGGGATTTAACAATGCCATGGCAACTCAAAGTGTCAGTCGCAAAGCGCCATTCGAGCATGTACTTTTGTCAAGGCGATGAATAGATAATCCGAAAGCTTCCTCTAATAAAGGGACTTTTGGCATTAGCAAGAGAATAAATTCCATTCGTGCGCTTTCATTACTGAGAAACAAATGAAGTTTTGGGTGGGGAATCCAGGCAAATTGAGCTCGATGTGTCTAATTGGAATTTCCCGATTGTGCCGTTGACATTATTGCGTAAGTTAAAGGGAGCTACAAGAATTGATTAAAATAGTAAAGTACTAGTAGTAGAGTAGATAGGGATGATCAAGCAAGTAAGTCAGTTGGTTGGTTGGAGTGTTTCGTTCCTTGAGCTTTTTGTGATAGTTTCCAAACTAATAATTATAAAATAAGGAGATGCTTCCGCTTGTAGGTGGAGGTAGATAGTAGATAATAGGTAGTAAGTAGGTAATTTTTAGATAGATAGATACCTAGGTAGGTACTGGCATTTTAGCCAAGTATAATTAATTACAAGTAAGAGCTTGTTGATGATTACCCTCTTTCATGAATAATGAGGAATGAACAATTAATTCCCTATTCGTTCTAAATATGATAAAATCGTATACGACACGTTAATCTTTTTGTCTACGTTTCATCAATAATGCTATATTTTTTTAATGGATATGCATTCGGCGGAGATGATGAACTTGGACGCAAAGGGGGGTGGAGATAAGATCCGACTCGGCGATAGGTTGTACTTCCTACTCCGTAGTTCATGTGGGTAGGGGGGAGTAAGATCTTACAAAGCCTCGAAATTGTTTCTATACATGTTCTAGAATAGATGTCCATATGTTCACATATCCATATGAGCCATATGTTCCAATTATGTTTCACACCTTCGACTCCGTACACAAATGGGAGCGACTTTAAAATGACGATACCATAACTTGCCAGGGTTATTTAGGGTCTCATCTCATATCATCTCATATCAGATCCATGGTATTGGTCGAAATGAGTAACCAGTGAGAGTGCTGACTCCTGAGAGTAGGCACCGGGACTGAGGACTCTGGAGGTAAACTAGCTGAGACCGGTGGGTTTAGAATATTCTGTGCAGAGTACCTGAAATACCCATGTGCAATTAATAATTAATTAATTAACTGTTCCAACTTCCAAGTACCTAACCTTACGAAGGAAGAAGAAAGGAGTTGACAAAGCTGTTAGCTAATAAGTCTTACCATTTACTACCTAGCTCCTACCTACCTACCTACCGACCTAGGTAATTATAATTATACTAGCTACAAGTAAAATTTTTATACAAGATATCAAGTCTTTGATTATTTTATCGACAATTACTTATTCGACGATACGATATACTGGAAAGGTAGGTAGTAGTAGGCAGCTAGGTAGGTGCGACTCTTTTCTCATCGATATCGCCCTTCCATTTTCTAAACACTGCCACTTAACATATCATCACATCACCAAGAACAAGAACAAAAACAAAACCACAACGTGTCCCGAAATCTGTTCATTTCATCCCCCTTCACCACCCCATTTCTCAAATCTCAACATGCCAAAGTAAACCTCTTCTTCTTTTCCTATTCCAAAATTTGAGATCAAATCTCAAATATCATACCTTCAAGATCAAAATTTCAATCCCGAGTTTCAACCATGAATCGGCGTATCGTCGTATTTTCTGGCGGAAGTGCCGCCAACAGTCTCGTGGATGTGTTTGGGAAAGTCGCCGAAGATAGGACTTGTTCTTTGAGTTAGTAAGTGCAAATTCACTTTAATCAGAAGACATATGATGAACTCGAGGTTAATGTTCTTCAGTATTATCCCTATTAGTGATAACGGAGGCTCTTCTTCTGAACTTATTCGAGTCTTTGGTGGTCCTGGTATTGGTGATGTGAGAAGTATGTTATTATCCTCATACCTTCGATTCAACTGTGTTTTGGGGCTACTTGGGGACAAGTTGGTCTTATCAAATCCTCCAAGACTTCAAAATGACCCCTATGCATTGGGATGGGTTCGATCACGTGCTACATATCTCCAGGAGTCATATTGTCGAGCTCATGACAACCACATCAACTCTAGCAACCTACCAAACAAAAACTAACCGCCTTCTTAGGTAGATTGGTCCGCCTCATCCCAGAAGATCCCATCGGAGCCAACACCGAGAAATCTGCTCTAAAAACCTTCTTCAACCATCGTCTCGACCCTTCACCCCAAGAAGCCAAACATGAATGGCTAGCCATAGTTGAAGGCCACTCTCCATTATGGAGTGAAATAACCTCTGCCAAGCGCGAATTGATTCGGTCTTTCCTCAACACTATCAACCTCGAGATAGTCAAGCGAGCTCGTCCTACCTCTGTCTTTAATTTTCAATCAGCCTCTGTTGGCAATTTGTTCTTGACAGGTGCTCGTATCTTCACGGGAAGTTTTGAGGCGGCGATTTACCTTTTGGGTAGCATCACTGGTGTGAAAGATAATGTTGAGGTGATTCCTGCTATTAACAGTAACTTTTCATATCATATATCAGCAGGATTACGAGATGGTAGGGCATCCACCAAATCTCCGTCATAGCCAATGTAGTCTCTAACACAAATTTACATTCAGGTACAATAATCGTAGGACAAAACAACATTTCCCATCCCATTGCTCCGACCTTCGTACCCACCCAACCCGTCAGCCCAGCCACATGGAACAAGCGACAATCCATCGACCTCCTGGAACACGACAGAATCGAAGACGCCAACCTTCCCGGCTCTCTTCCCACACTCCGTAAACAAAACATAGATTTCCAAAAATCACACACCGAAGAACTTTCCTCGCCAATTGAACGAATCTGGTACATCAATCCATATGGCCAAGAAATCCGACCCGCGCCTAATACTAAAGTCTTAGAAGCCTTGAACGATGCCAGTTGTGTTATATATAGTATCGGTTCACTCTACACATCTATTCTCCCCTGTCTCGTTCTGAGGGATGTAGGCAACGCGATTGCAGACCCAAGAATCAAATTCAAAGTTCTTATCTTAAACGGATGTTTAGATCGTGAGACTCCAGGATACACGGCACGAGATTTCATAGAAGCGATTGTTCGCGGATGTTGCGGAAATGGAAAAGAAGACGAAAACGAACATAAGATACCAGAAGAAGAATGGAAAAAATATATCACGCACTTAGTATATCTAGAAGGACCAGGAACACCAGCAGTAGATAAAACAGAGTTGAAGAAATTAGGCATTGAAGCGGTGAGGGTTTATGGAAGAAGAGCTGAACCTGAAGGTGCGGGTACGGGTGTGGGTGTGGGTGTTATTTTGAAGAATCCATTGATTGATGCCGTGAAGAGTGTAGATGATATGGGTCAGGGAAATATGGCAAATGGAAATGCAAATGGGAACGGAAGTGGTAATGGAAATGGGAATGGGAATGGAAATGTAAGTCGCGAGGATATTGTAGGCGCGATGGGTAAAGATGAAAGTGCGGGTATGAGATATGATGGTGTTGGTTTGGAACAGGCTCTCAATGCTATTTTGGGAGGAAAGGCGGATAAGGTGAGGAGGTATACTTATCTAGGTTGATGGGTGATGGCTGATGGCTGATGGGTGATGGGTGATGGGTGATGGGTGATGGGTGATGGGTGATGGGTGATGGGTGATGGGTGATGGGTGATGGGTGATGGGTGATGGGTGATGGTTGATGGTTTTCATTGTTTGTTAAGTGAGTGAGTGAGTGAGTGGTGCTTGAAAGTAGGTAGGTAGTCATTATAGATGGAATTAGAGAGTAAGTTTTATGTTTATCATATGGATGATGGTATTTTGAAATTTTGAAACTTTGAAATATGTATATGTAAGATCTGATATGTTTTTGAGGCATCATAGCACTACAGGTACTAGGTATATACGGTGACAAATCAACAACTGTTAAAACATACCGAGTACGCAACTAGAAAACCATCCCCCGAACCCAATCATGCCACACCTCACCTCACCTCAACATTAAATCCCCACAGGACACCCCGCATCGTTAGTAAAACTAATCGTAGCCTTCGGATCCATATAATCCCTCCCCTCACTATCATCTCCACCCGTATCCGCACCCGGCAGCTCCCCCTCATCCTCCGCATCCGCCTCCATCCCACTCATAGCACCAACATCCACATCCATCTCCGGGTCTGGAATCTTCATGCCCCAATTATAAGTCTGCGGATTAAGACCCGCTTCTAACATTTTCCAATAATGATCTTCGCCCATCCACATATCTCCCAAACGATCATAGTAGCGGAGGAGATCGCAATTCCTGGTGATACTACCGGGGTGATCACCGTGTTGTTCGGGGATGTTCACGCTGGGACGTTCGTCTACGATGGGATAACCGTGGGGGTGGCGTGGGGGAACTTGCGCGCGTGAGGCGGGGTATGTTTTGCGGTCGTTGAAGGGGAGGTCGTCGCCGGGGTAGGGGTCCGCGTGGGTAAGATTTCTGCTGCTTTCGTATTTGGGGGTGGGACATTGCGGTGTGCGGGGGAAGGAGAAGTTGTCGAATCGTTCCTTGAAGTCGTCCATCCATTCCGGCATGGGTTCGCGAAAGCCTTCTGGGGCTATTTGGGCTTGTTGGAATATGGGGTGGAGGGGTGGGTCTGATCCTTCTGTTTCCTTTTTGCTGGGCTTCTTGGCTTTTTCTTGTTCGGTGTCGTCCTCGTCTTCGATAGATTCGTCCTCGTCTTCGGTCTCGTGGTCCAGGTCGCTCTGACACACCTTGTAGCCATCTCGGACTAAGTACCAGAGGTTTTCTGCACGAGGTCGCAGGCTGGGCTTTTCGTACATGCATTTCATGACGAGCTCGATCAAATAATCGCCATATCTACCAAGTGGGATTTTGTTATCGCCATGTATAAGGGAGCGACCATATGAAACCGGGCTGTCATTCGAATAGTCCCCTAAATTTATGTCGACCCATTTGCCGTTTTCCGGATGCATATCCAAGTCAGATGATTGGTTTTCGTGCATTAGAAGACGGATGATATTCGCAAATTGAAATATATTGCTACATGATCCATGGCGGAATGGATTTACATGCTCGCTTGGAGCAATGACTGCTTCCTATAGTGAGATTGTAAGTGTGCTGTATAAGCACGAACAGGAGACTGCTAACTCACGGGGGCCCGGTAGCCAATCCGACCATTTAGCGCATTTGGGAACCTGTAACGCCCAAATTCTTCTTGACTACGATAAAGAGGAACATCAAGTGCGTCTCCAAAATCACAAAGCTGTAAAGTTTGTTATTCCTCGATCTTGGGATCTAACACGATATACACACCTTAAGCACAGGTACACGATCTGTTTCCTTATTCTTATATCCAATCAAAACTAAATCACGTCAGAAATCACTCTCTAAATTCTAATGGAAAGACTTACTATTCCTCGGCTCAATATTATAATGACAGATCTCCGCGGTTTTGAACTCCACCAACCTAATATTCTGTTCATCGTCTTCTGGTGGGATCTCAGTACCGCGGTCCATCATGAGTATCATCCTTGTAAACTGTTTGAAAATGAGCCATATATCAAGCTCATGAATAAAACCACTACTGTTCCTATCAAAAACTTCTAAATTATGGTGAATTTTTCCCTTCCACTCAACTCCTGGGCAGTATTCCAAAAATGCTACTTCATACTCTCCCGGTGCGCCTGGTAGTTTCAGCCATTGAGTACGAAAGTGCCTCACAATATTTTCGGGGCGGTGAGGTATTTTGGACTGTTCGGGATAATCTTCGCTAGGATAGTATCCAGAGAGCGCGTATAGGAATTGCCATTCATACTTGTCTCCATCGTAATTTTGTGGATAGCCATTGGGTCGATTTGGTCTTTGATCTTTTCGTTGATAGTTGATTTTGAGGACCACATTGTCAGTGTGAGGAGCGCCATAATCCTCCTCCTTCTCCTTCTCCTTCTCCTTCTCCTTCTCCTTCTCCTTCTCCTTCTCCTTCTCCTTCTCCTTCTCCTTCTCCTTCTCCTTCTCCTTCTCCTTCTTTTTCTTCTCCTTACCCCCCTTCACTGCCTCTTGCCCTTTCTTTTCCGTTTCTTTGGCTTCCTTAGCTTTCTTCCTTTCCTTCTTCTCCTGGGCTTTCTGAATTTTCACCTCTTTCTGTGCATTCCAAATCGTCTTATCTTTTTGAGCTTCTTTCTCATCGTATACAAAATGGGCGATAGCTGCAGTATCGGTATTGGCAATCCGCTCCTTAAACCTCCAATTGTCTCCCAAACGAGGGTTCCAATTTGGTTCAGTTCTCCTCCATTCTGCAAAACCGACATCTTCTCTGATGGGATCGTCTGTGGCGGCCATGATGGAACGTACTTGAGTTCCAAAATCGATATGGGTATTCAAAGTATTCGGTGGCTCAAAAAAGTATAGTTATGTGTGAAGGGGCTAAATGTATTGCATGAGACAAAGGGTACTTAAACCATTTTCAAAGCTGGTGAAAACCGCAAGCGGTGGAAATGATACAAAGCGACTCGCTCGACATATAAAAGAAATACATGTAGAACTAACTCGAACAAAGGATTGAAGATTTTCCATTGTACAATTCTTGGGATATACCTCATTGTCAATATATTCTAGCAAACTGTGCTTGAGAATAATCATCCTGCACACTGACCGTACAGAGTATTTGATTGTGTAATTTGTGATACCAAAATGTGATTTCTCCTCATGGCGATGATGTGCATTTCAAGAATGTTCAATAGATATTCAATCGTTAGATACTTCTACCCAGATATTGACTGGTGGATTGATGATTGTAAGATCTTAAAAAGAAATCAAAGGATGATGAGATGATGTTGATAATAATTAGATGAAGATTTCTACTCGAGTACTCCAAAATGGCTTAGCGTGCTTTCCTATTAGAATAAGATGTTCACTCTAGCATATCAGTGAGCTGAGCCATTCCAATTTTCATCATCCTGAAAGGAGCTGAGCCCAACTGTTGGAAATAAAATGTAAAGGCAGGAGCAAGCACGGAAATTGGCTGTTTTGAAATGCCATGAGATTTACTTATACTCAAACCCAAGACTCAATGTTGAAAGTTTTTTCAAAGCAGGCAGGTTGCCCAAGTTCAATTTCGCAGAAATCAAATAACCATATTTTCTTGAAACCTCAATTCTGCTATGAGGCTGTTAGTGCAACTTCTGAGCTGTTGACGCCATAGAAAAGTAATCTTATATCTGATCTCTTACGGCTTTGTGTTGATTAGTCAGTTGGGTTCTAAGTCTACAGGAAACTCTATCTTTGTTCAAGAAAATTGTTATCGAAGAAACAATACTGAAAGTGGTAAACGGGTATGATTGAATCCGCAGCGAGATTTTTACTCATATCCTTCTCTAAGTTTACTTTTTCATTTCTGCCTCTATTCTATTTCCACCGATTCACACCACATTTTCCATTTCCACCTTCACCTCAAACCCCAAACACCAACACCAACTACCAAGCTTCAATCAAACTGATATCTTTACAGGATATAATAACTCCCATCCCTTTTCATTATCGCTTTAACTATCCACCTCACAAGTATCCACATATTCGCCAAAGCCGTTCCCCACTATCTACCACAGAAACCAAGTGGGGTTTCTGAACCTTGGAAAATATACGAAATTTTGCTCATCTGCATCATCTGATTATTCAACTCCATCAGCCCGTTTGGCTTAGCGGTAAAGCGCATCACTAGTAATGATGAGATCCTAGGTTCGATTCCTAGAACGGGCATTCCGATATCTGAATCAGCTTTTTGACATTTTTACCCCTTTTTCATTTCTGGGTGATAATTTTGCCGGTGTCGAATAATAGGAGTTGGTAGAATTAAGTGTGTGAATGTGGGCATATCATACATGTATGCGGGTTCCTGTGGGGTTCTTCATTTGAATTTTAAGTTGATCTATACCCCGTATTATGGCAGTTTTTGTCTCGGTGAGTAAATGGGCTATATATATTGATTGATTGATTGATTGATTGATTGATAGGTGTAAATAAGCAAGAAAGTTTTGAGCCTCTCGATGATCAACTTTAACTTTTTAATACTAATCTCCCTGCTCTCCTTTTAAACCTCGAAAAGTACCTATCGACAGGCCGCCTGACTGGGTAATTAGTATGTATGAATCCTGGAGGTTGTATAAATCATAAACTTTTTTATATTTATATTTATGTTTTTGTATTAGTATTTCCTCCATAAGTCCGAATGTGAGCCTGATAAAAGGAGTATTATATATTATCCACACATGATCACGAATCAAATATACCCCCTATTCTTACTGTAAGATCTTACAATCCACACCATAGGAAAATGATAGCCTATAATCGTAGGTACCTAGGTAGATACTCCTAATAACAACAATCCATCACAGATGACAATACATTAAATAAACTCAGGAGCTCGAATAATCATAACACTTGTGTAATTATAATTATAAGCTTACATACCTAGGTATTGAATGGTGTGTAATCAAAGTTCTCGCTTGAAGTTAGGGGGCATACATATCGAGTTGCAACTTTTCTCTAGGCTTCGTATTGAGAAGAATAGAACGAATGGAATGAAGGAATGAAATATAATAAGTGAAAATTTTATCCTTACGCGGGAGAGTTGATGCTGGCTTGGTGGTGATATATGGTTATTGGTTATTTATATTTATATTATAGTATGTTGTGTTATTATTATCATTTCTTTCTTCTTATATTATTATTATTATATGTGAAAAGATTCGAGAATCGAAAGGAAGTTTTATATAAATCGTAGATCATAGTGACTCGCAACCAACCAAACCAAATCGAGCCGGAAGCAAGATAATCTATCTCCCTATAATGACAACAATAATAAAAATCCCTCAAGCCCCTTCCTCATACCTCATCTATCCATCCATCTCTCTCATAAACCCCCCTCACCCTCCCTCAAACCTCCCCCCCGTCCAAACCACCACCCCCAACCCGCTCAAAGCAACCACCATTCAATCCACACTCTCCCACGGCCAAAAACCAAAAGCCTACCTCAAACCTCAAACTCCAAATTACACTTTATTCTCCATCATCATAAACCAGACATACCCTCCAAAATACAAAAGATCCACTCCCCAAATACACACCACCCACCATCCACCTCGAGTTCTTTAAGATTTGGAGATATGAGATATTATTTTTGTTTCATTCTATTCTATTCTATTCTAACCTGATACTATCTGAGCAGATCTATATCAGGTCTATACTTATATCTAAATCTATATTTCCTCTTTGTAAACGAAAATCCAGGTATTATGAGTTATTTATTTAATTAATTACCTTATTTCTTTTCCTCTTAGATTATAAGTAAGTATCTATAGATAGACAAATACCAAGGTAGGATATAGAAAGTCGATTGGAAATAATATAATAAAGACAAGAATGACTTTGAGCTTAGTTTGGTGTGGGTGAATATGAATATGAATATGATGTTGAGGGATTGATATAAATAGATATAAATAGAAACCTACCTATCTACCTACCCACTTGCAATAGATGAATATAAAAATCCGACATCGGATTATAATAATATTCCTGAATAAATACTCGTCATCATAATTAAGAAATAGTTTAGAAGACAGGAAGAAATACTCATAGTCTTCCCCGGGTATTATCGAAAACGTGTAAATACAAGATGGATACATACAAGTTCAGTTCACAGGGATAATGTGATAGGGAAATATTTTTATTACCTAGGTATGTTGTGATAAAGTGTGATTGATACATGCGATACATACCATCCTATACCTAGGTATCAATTCACGCACATATATGCGTACCTAACTCACCTCATAGCCTCCCATATATCACCTGCACCAAATATACTTTGATATTTCTCTAATCCTTTTCCCAAATCTTCATCATCAGTTGTGAATCACCAACCAGAAAAATGAATTTCCTCTCCACCCGTTCAAACCAGGTCATTCCCCTCGAAAATGTTTACTGCATCTCCACCCGACAAGAGTGAATGCCGTGGCGCAGTTCCCTCATCTGCTTTCCACCACCCGGAAACAATGATTCACGAGCCACGGATCTTACACCTCGGTTTTTATAAGAGAGTCTTCAGATGGTTTGGCCCTTGTGAACTTCCTCCTCCTTACACACCACGGAAATCCCCAAGAACGATCAACTCGAGCTCCCAAGCCACTTAGCTTCAATCATACTTTTTCAAATCAAGAGCAACAATAAACTGACTTATCTTTCCTACCTTTATCTTTATATTTCTCTTACTCGCGCAATCATATATTCGATATTTATATCCATCACCATATTATTCGTGACAGTCAACCATGACTCACTATCCCGATACGGTGTCACTTCCCGATAACATATTCTGCTGCGACTCATGCACTGAAGTCGATACTCGACACTCCGACAAACCTTACCATGATCCCAATAAGAACTATCACCAAGCGATCTATCAATCATTTCTCAATTTCGCAACCCGGATATCAGCAGCAGCCAGAGAACTTGAGCTTGCCCAAGCTCATGAGGCTGCTGAAGTTCAACGTCAGGCTGCTGAAATTTACGCAGCAGCTATCTCGATCCAGGAAGAATCCGAAAATGCTTCCATGGCGCTCATGGATATGATCCGAAGTTATAATCCTGATCATCAAAAAATGACAAATCAAGCTCCAACTCCTTCATTGGCTTGCATTAAAACTCCCACCCCTTCATCAGCATTAACAAGTGCATTCACCTTGCCCTCTTCTCCTCCCTTTTCTCCTTCCATTACACCGCCTAGATCAATCATAGCCCAAAGATGCTCTGATCTTCACTCTATTTCAAAAAGCAATGTGTTTGGATCAGACTTGATGACACCACCATCTTCAGCATCATCCTCCAAACCCAGCTCCAAGATGACTTCCATATCTTCCGGACTTGGGCAATCATTCATAGAATTTCTCAGAAATGGAGTGACTGCTCTTCCTTCATCAGGAGTGCCAAATCTCGGATCAAGCATCACTGATTCAAAAATTCCCGAATGGAGATCACGTGCGAATGATCAAGCAATGCAACCACTTGCGCAATCTTTCACTCCTCTTGGAACATCTGGATACCCAAAGTCTCCTTGGGCATTTGAACCAACGCACTCCCGAGCTCCTCATGGAACATATGGGTCGTTTCAACCTTCGACAACCGTCGAGGCATCTGAGCCATATCAATCCCTGATTCTGACTGGAAGTTTGGAACCATCCCGATTTTCAAGCTCTTCCGAAACATTCGCCGAAGTTTCCTTCGATGGTTTCAGAACTGTTCAAGCCCCATATTGGACACAAACAGAGCCGGAACCTTTCATTCCTCAACATGTTCTTTCCCCATCTAATCTCATTGACAATCCACTCATTACCAATCCTCCTCCAACCTACGTGATTCACGTCACCTCACGACAAGACTACGGCAAGACGGAATCTCATCGTTACTTTGTCTGTCCCACGGATCTGACATCTGACTGGCCGGAAGTCAGTTTACTCCAATGGTTCGCAGCTGGCGTTGGTTATGATGTCAAAGCGGAGAAATGGGATCATAAATGTTTGCAGCATCAGAGATTTTTTCGAATGGTTTTGAGGCCAAATCTGGCGATGCGGGAATGGGGTTTGGGCAAACCATTGGAGGAATTGCAAGCGGAATTGGCAAAGTTGAACGCCGTTGCGGCAATGGGGCGTGCGTAAGCTGATCAGTGGAGGTTGTTCGTGTACATAATTTTTTGGAATAGATAGGCTACAAGCCAGAGTCGTTGGACTTTTCTTTTTGCGGGATATTCGAATATGAAAGGTAGTGGATAGAAGGACTTAAAAGATATTTCGTGGGAAACTGGAGAAGGTGTTGCTGGCGATGCTTTTGAGGCTCAGATGAGTCTGCTTCGGACTAGTAATTATCTCTGTTTTCCGTATAGATAGACTTTCCTTTTAGGTGACTTTGCATTCTATCGTATTTACGATGGTAATTGCAAAGATCTTGCGGATAAAGTCTAGATCTTTGAATTTGAGTTTTTACTGCGATTAGGCATTTTAAAAAGCAATGCAGAGCGTTGAATCTATTAGAGTTGACTTGATTTTGATGTGATCTTGGAAGGTGCTGTCTCAAAACGTGAGTCTGAGATGTTGCGAGATATTCTTCTTCATGGAGTGATACCCAAATAGTGAATAATTCGAAAGTCCAATAGCTTCTTAGAATGCTTCGATACTCACTTACCTGATCCTTCCTAGATATTTCCAACTTGTATGGATTGAATGAGAGGTTGAGAGATCAATAACTGTCCAAATGTGACCCGGACAAACAGGATCCTACTAGTAACGATTGGTTCGAAGCTTTCTCAATAGTAACTCCTCTAATCGATATCAATACACGTAATCATTCTCATGTGGATGTGGAATTCAAAATAATTCATGTTCATCATTGATTTGAAGTTACGAAATCCAGTATAAATCAATATAAAACAGCCGAACTTTACCCTTCAACAAAGCTAAAAGCTACCCAGCTCAAGCTCCGAGCCTCGGTATTATCGCGTAACATCTTATCCATGCTCCTATCCATCCCAGATTCCAAGTACGTACCCAAAAGCTTAAGTAAAATTTCCTTCTTCTCTTCTACATACTTCTTGCATACTTTTAGAACTATATATCTTTCTATATATCATATTTGTATATCTACATCACCGCATCATGTAAAGAAATCACCGGGCTTCCACCCGCAGAAACCTCCCCCGCTGACCGGCCATTCCTCTCCCCATCTCCAC